GCTGCGCACCCTCCCACTCCCCATAGGCTCGTCGCGTCGTGTTGCTCGTGGTGTGGTGTGTCGTGTCCCGCCCACCCCGCTCCCGATTCTAAGTGGAAGCGGCGGTGCTGCTAGAGCCCAGCACACCCTAGCCTACGGTGTTGGGCTGCCCTTCACTAATAATTCTCCAAGACAGCCAGAGGGGCTCATCGCTGCCTTCCCGCGAGAGCAATAGATCCCGTGGATATCCAAAACACGAAGAAATGCGACGTCAAAGCGAGTAGCAACCGGATGGTTCGAGGTGGGGATTGAAGCACGCCGGGTGGCGAAAGAAGCATGCGAGCATGGACGTAAGTGTAGGAGCACGATGATATGTGAAAGGGGTATGTGCAGCACATGGGGCATGTCCATAAAAATGTGAACTGCGTGCGATTCGAGCGGGTTCCGGATCGGGCGTGGTGTGTCTGGGCTAGGTGCTCTTATGGTGTAATGGTTAGCACTCTGGACTTTGAATCCAGCGATCCGGGTTCAAATCCCGGTAGGAGCTTGATATTGTGCGGCGTTGCAAGCATAGTATGTAGCGATGGCGCCAGCTGTCGTGTGGGGCTGGAGAATCGCGTTTGAAATTCTGTTTGCGGATTGGCGAGTTAGTGCTGGTCTTATGGTGTAATGTCCAGCACTCTGGACTCTGAATCCAGCGATCCGGGTTTAAATTCCGGTAGGACCTCGTTTTGCACCGCTCCTACCGGCCCCACAACGCCCCAGTTGTTGCTGCGCTGCGCACATGCCACACGCTATAGCCGCGTCACGCTGTGTTGCCGTGGTGTGTTGTATCGTGTCCCGGCGATCCGCTGCCGATTTAAGTGGTAGCTGCTGCTCTGGCAGAGCTCACCAAGCACAACCGCCGACTTCGCTGACCGCACTACCAATTCTCCAGGATAGCCAGAGGGCTCATTGCAGCCTTCCGCGGGAACAATAGATCCCGTGGATATCCAAAACACGAAGAAATGCGACGTCAAAGCGAGTAGCAACCGAATGGTTCGAGGCGGGGATTGAAGCAAGCCGGGTGGCGAAAGAAGCATGCGAGCATGGCCGTAAGTGTAGGAGCACGATGATATGTGAAAGGGGTATGTGCAGCACATGGGGCATGTCCGTGAATACGTGAATTGCGTGCGATTCGAGCGGGTTACGGATCGGGCGTGGTGTGTCTGGGCTAGGTGCTCTTATGGTGTAATGGTTAGCACTCTGGACTTTGAATCCAGCGATCCGGGTTCAAATCCCGGTAGGAGCTTGATTTTGTGCGGCGTTGCAAGCATAGTATGTAGCGATGGCGCCAGCTGTCGTGTGGGGCTGGAGAATCGTGTTTGAAATTCTGTTTGCGGATTGGCGAGTTAGTGCTGGTCTTATGGTGTAATGGTTAGCACTCTGGACTCTGAATCCAGCGATCCGGGTTCAAATCCCGGTAGGACCTCGTTTTGCACCGCTCCTACCGTCCCCACAACGCCCCAGTTGTTGCTGCGCTGCGCACCTGCCACACGCTATAGCCGCGTCACGTTGTGTTGCCGTGGTGTGTTGTATCGTGTCCCGGCGATCC